GCCACAGCTCCACTTTCAGTTTTTTGGTGGTTCATTGGAGATCCAGTCTAATAGGCTTTCTTGCCTGGGCTGACTTCAAACCACCATCCTTAGATCTCAGCCTCCTGAGTAGCTAAGATTACAGGCGTGAGCCACTAGCCAGAGCTTGGCTCACCTCTCGCTTTGGAGTGGTGCAGGGCCAGCCCAGCCCTTACCCAGGGTGCTCCCTCAAGCCTTTCTCTCCATCTCTGTCCCTGACCCAGGGCAGCGTAGGCCACTCAAGAGTGCTTCCTTCCTGGAACCTCTCATAGGGACACAGACCTATGTGAGCCAACGTGGAGGATGCCATGGGGGCTGGATGGGCCCCTGGGAGGCTGAGGTTGAGGGGACACTGGGAGGCCTCTGGGCCTCCCCTGGCCTTCCCGCCTTCCTATTCTTGGGTCTGGGGGGACTCCGACTGCCACTCACCAGCGCCCACCTGGCGCTGCACCTCACACCCTGAATCACATGGCCTTCTACTTTTTGCCTGCCTCGTTCTCAGTCTCTGAGCCCCTGCCTCAGTTTCCCCTTGCCTCTACCTGCCTGGACATCACCTTGTCTCCGCGCCTCGCCTCTTATCTGCGTTCCTCTCTCTTCCTTGGTCTGACTCTATTTCTCGTTCTTTCTGTCCCATCGGTCCCTGTCTTTCTGTCTGTGTGATCTTTCTCTCGCTCGGTTTCCCTCCTCCTCTCCCTGCCCCTCCCTCCCCACATCCTGAGTTGTCTTGAGGGGAACCGGAAATTTGGGGGGATCAGAGAGAGATACCGGGAGGCTCAGCTGGGGCCTCTGCCTAGAGATAATGTGCTGGTGGGGGAGGGGCAGGGGCAGGGCCCAGGCTGTCCCAGCTGCCGGAAGGCGGGGCCTGCCACCCGCCACCTCCAAGCCCACTGCGCACCTGCTGACAGTCAGTCAAGCCACAGGCCTGAGTGAAGACGGGAGGGTTGGGCCCAGGGATGGGAAAAGTGCAGGCCTCCAGCTCCAACCTGTCCCTCCCCGCCCGTGCCTACCTTGACAAGCTATACTTTCTCTGACACCATCCATTCTGGGGTTCACTGCAGCCACAGGGAGGTTGAATGACCCGCCCAAGGTCGTATAGCCATGAATGCTTGACATGACAGGACTCTGGTCATTACCAACGTTGGGGCTGGCGGTATCATGTCTTATTTCATTGTATTATCTTATCTGACTTTATTTTGTATTTTATTTATTCCTTTATTTATCTTAGACAAGTTCAATCTATGTAGCAAAGGCTGGCCTTGAACTTGAGATCCTCTTGCCTCAGGATCCCACGTGCTAGGACAAGCGGATGCTACCACACTGGGCTGGCATGTCCACTTTATTTATTTATTTTTGCCTATCTGTCTGTCTGTCTGTCTGTCTGTCTTTGGTGCCTCTGCTGGGGCTTGAACTTAATACTGCTGTCCCTTAGCTTTTTCACTCAGGGATGACACTCTATCACTTAAACCACAGCACCACTTCCAGCTTTTTGGTGCCTAATTGGAGATGAGTCTCATAGGCTTTCCTAGCCAGGTTGGCTATAACCTGTGATCCTCAGATCTCAGCCTCATTGGTAACACACAGTATTAATTCTCAAAACATTCGGAGGATAAAAAGCTACTTTCTCAGCTTGGATTAAGGTTCTTTAGTGTCCTCCTATCTGGTCCCCAGCCACTCACTAATCTTGCTTTCTACCCATGGGGGGAACGTGTGCCTGTTCTGCATGAGCAAATGAAGAATTTGCTGTAATTTTGCTTTGGGTTGGAGTTTTCTTTTTATTTAGGGCAAGTAGCATTGGTTTTTCATCTAAGGGTGTGACAGGTGCTGTCTTTTAAGTGAGTTTAAATTTAAAAAGGAAGTCATTTTCAAAAAAAAAACACAGATAAGAGAATTGAGTGCAGGCAGTTACAGTTAGAATAACCATTATTGAGGGCTGGGAGTGTGGCTTAGTGGTAGAGTGCTTGCCTAGCATGCATGAAGCCCTGGGTTTGATTCCTTGGTGCTATGTAAACAGGAAAAAAAGCCAGAAGTGGTGCTGTGGCTCAGGTGGTAGGGTGCTAACCTTGAGCAAAAGAAGCTCAGGGACAGTGCTCAGGCCCTGAGTTCAAGCCCCAGGACTGGCAAAAAAACAAAACAAAAAAAGCATAACCATTATTGAAGATTTGGAAGGATTAGATGGATGGACGGATGGGTGAGTGGAGAGGGAGGAAGGAAGGAAGGAAGGATGGAATGATGGATGGATGGATGGATGAGTGGATGATGGGTGGATGGCTGGCTGGATGGGTGGGTGGATGGATGAGTGTATAGATGGATGGGTGGGTGGGTGGATGGATGGATGGATGGATGGGTGTATACATGGATGGGTGGGTGGATGGCTGGATGGATGGATGAGTGTATAGATGGATGGATGGATGGGTGGGTGGATGGATGAGTGTTTAGATGGATAGAAGGACGGTGGACAAGTTAAGTGCTGAGGACTAAACAGAGCTATAGGCATGCTAAGCAGATACTTTATCTCTTAGAACTGAATTTTAGGTAGCCTAGAGCCCTTTTCTGGCTCGGCCACATCCTGGTGCCAGCCAGCCGAGCCCACAATGTCCTGCCCACAGCCACACGGCCAGTCAGGAACCAAGCTGGGATGTGGTTGGACACTAAGGAGACAGGGTGATGGTGGTGATGCTGGGGCTGGAAGTCCCCCCTGTTCCCTAGCGCTCCTGGCGGAAGCTCAACGGATGCCCAGTGTTGGATGACAGAGTCCCAAGGCGGGGAGGTGGGGCACAGAGGATCATGGGAGAACAGAAAGCATCAGATCACCTAGCCACCCTCGGGTCATGTGACAGTCCGAGCAGATCAGATAGGTTTGTTGTTGTTGTTGTTATTTTAACTAGGGCTTGGATTTAGAGTTTTGTGCTTGCTTTACAGGCACACTACCGCTTGAGCCATGTCCCCAACCTCCTACCATTCTTTTTGGTTGTGGGGCTTGAACTCTGGGCCTGGGAACTGTCCCACAGCTCTTTCGCTCAAGGTGAGTGCTCTACCACTTGAGCTACAGCACCACTTCTGGGTTTCTGGTGGTTTATTGAAGATAAGAAGAGTCTCATGGACTTTCTGGCCTGGGCTGGCTTTGAATTGGGATCCTCAGATCTCAGCCTCCTGAGTAGCTAGGATGACAGGTGTGAGACACCAGCTCACTGGCAAAATCTTACTAAGTAGTCTGGGCTGGCCTTGAATGTATGCGTGTCCTATCTCAGCCTCCTCTGTGCTGGGTAACAAGTTGATTTTTATCCAAGTCATGGACTCGGTGGAGCTTCTGCTGTGTTACCGCCAGCCGTCTCCCACAACTATCATGAGTCACTCATCCACCCATCCATCCACCCATCCATCCACCCACCCATCCATCCATCCATCCATCCACCCATCCATCCATCCACCCATCCATCCATCCATCCACCCATCCATCCATCCACCCATCCATCCATCCATCCACCCATCCATCCATCCACCCATCCATCCATCCATCCACCC